ACGAACCTCAGAAGGACCTGCTATCTTCGTTTACCTTTCTCGTCGATTCGGACACGTTTATATGGACCGTTTATTTTGAAAGTGGTGTAAGTCCATTTTTGAGAAAAATGAGATATCACGTAATTCATGCTAAATTAAGCATGAATTACGTGATATCTCATTTTTTTCAAAAATGGACTCACACCACTTTCAAAATAAACGAATAAAAATGTTCGCCGTCGCTTGAACCGATGGTTGATGTTTCGCTTTCGATTTTCTTCGTTAAACTACGTAAATACTGGCCGAACACGACCAAGTATAATCCATACAGGCAATTAATTACTTGGGGAGGGGTTATGACGGGCCACGAAAATAGCCGTGGATAATCGGCGCGAAAAGCGGCCACGCAAATATTTGCATCTACATTACGGCCTATCGATGGCTTGTGAATTTTGGATACGAGCTATTTTTAGCTGGCCTGAGCAGGCAGTCTGTCGATCTATTCTTCAGGCCGCAGTTGAGGATGCGCAAACGATCGCGCCGCTGCCGCACACGGCCGTTGATTTAATAATATCGGGATGCGAAACAAAAGGTGAAGGAATCGATAGGAGACGCGAGGGGATAAAGCACCTCGTCGTGTCGTCTCGTCTCCGATTGGTGCCAATTAAGCCTCGTCGGACCGGCTACGAGTGTACTTTACGCGATGACTTTGTGCGAAAGAGAGTGACAAAAAAAATATACGATCGGTGTAAGTCACAAAGCGTGGAGAACGTACTGTCACGGCTTTCACGACACAATTAATTCATAGAGTTGGAAAGAGAACAAGGCGGAGGGGAGGGGTTGTATGGCGGGATAGAACGACTCGGCGAACGTGAGCACTCGACGACAAGAGGAAAGAAGTACTGGTGAAATTGTGGTCGTTCAAACGAAACAGAATCGCAATCAAAGCTAACCCTCTGCCGATTAATTAGTCGCGGGAGGGAATTTATGACAGACAAGAGAACCGGCCGGCTGTTGAGTAAATTTAACCAACGACGCGTACCATTAATACTCGCACAATCGATACGAGTGTAAAATACGATATAAATTGTCACTAGATTGCGAGAACAGGTTTTATTCACGTTCGACGTATCGGAATTTTTTGTTTAATGAATGAGAAATAGTAGCTTATACTTGGAAGGAAATGGGTAGATAAAGTGGTGTACAACGAAAACAAAAGGAAAGATATCCGTATCAGTTTTGCGAGGGTGCACATCCGCTGCTTAATCGGAAAAAGTGGTGGCCGATAGGCGCGAGAAGGTATCTCATTGATCCGACCAGAAATTTCAGGCACTGACGTGGGCCATGATTTGGAATATAAAAGCGCGATTGACAAAGTAGAACGATAGCAAACAGATTGGTATCGAACGGTATTGCGTGGATGCGAAGGATAAAGGAGGCGCGGAAGGGTGCGGTAGACATATTAGAGCAAGTGACAAGACTCACCTTGTCTGAGGGTATGTTGCGCGAACTCATCGTAGATGGTGGCGAAGGTGTCGCTGGGAATCCAGAGGCCGTCCGTAATTTGACCCAAAGCCCGCTCTCCGAATGGCACAGATATGTTAACAAACGATGACAGCAGCGGCGAAAAGACCAGCAGTGGTGCGACGCACTTTACTCGATGAAAACACACTCACGCACAGCTCACTATTCCGGGACCATTTCGGCCCGAGCCTTCGCGCTGCCCGATCACACACCTCCGACACCTGTCGTTACTTGTACATGTCGGGTGCAAAGTATTTGGGTAACATCTTGCAGACAATGCACGGAATTACGATCTGTAATTTGCACCGCACGCACCCACCGTCCCAGTCTCAGAGCCAAACACATAAAATGGCGATGCTGAGACGATGCAGCTTTCCGGGGAAGCTTCGGTCACGGAGTACGCGATTGGACTAGTTGACGCGTTCGATGCTCGCGACAGGTGGCAGTGGGAGGACCGACAGTAGTGCCACGCGCGGTCTATTTGAAAACTAAATCGGATTTGCGAACGAAGCTTACCGGAAACATGTGTTATGAGTTTATAAGAGTCTATTCATAACACTACGGATGTTCTTTAAGCAATAAATAATTATTTTTGTATTGTTGCTGTATTTAATATTTTTATATAATTTTTGCAAACCATACGAATTTATAGTTTTTCAGTAGAGGGTAATGGTTAATAATTGTACTTAATATTCTTGTAAATGACCTTTTAAGTCGCTCCATAACCTAACTCGATTGCTCTACGAGACTGCGAGCATTAATATTTTGACAGTTTCGAATGATACGTTATTCTACTTCGCTGTCCCGCATGTATACAACTGGAAATTATGTATAAAACAAAAAACTCTGTGTGTATCTGACGCACAATGAAATTTCTGTGACAAATTGCTTATGGAAATATTTTCTAAAAATGTCCGCAATTATAGATGATAAAGTGGTTGCAGGAGCGAAATCTGCAAACATTGTTAAAGAAGACCCTATTGTAGCATTGACGGTATGCACACTGATTTCATGATGATAATCAAACAATTATTATATAAAACTTCTGTTTATTTTAGGAAAGAGTAAATGCACTATATCTCTTTCGTGATCACTATTTTGAAAATCACTCGATTGAAGAGGCGATTAAAAAAAATCAAGATGTTGAAAAGGAAATGAAGGATACCATAAACAAATTTGATGAATGTAAGGGATATGAAATTGATGGATCGAGAGCAAAGTATTACTACCTGAAAGGGAAGGCTCTAAATGTCACAGAACGCTTTATACCTCAGGCAGAAGAATTGTTAACTAAAGCAGTAAAACTAGAACCTAATTTAGTAGAAGCATGGAATGAATTAGGAGAATGTTATTGGAAAAATGATGATATTCAAACAGCAAAGAATTGTTTTGTGGGAGCTTTACGTCATGTAAAACATTATTTTCTCATTATTATTTATAATTATGATTAGGTCTTCAGACACTATTATACAATGATAATGAACATTTTAGGGTAAGAATAAAGTGTCATTGAGAAATTTGTCAATGGTACTTAGACAAGAAACAATTTGTAGCGATGAGCAACGAATAGAAAATATACAAAAGGGCGTGGAGTCTGCTAAAGAAGCGGTTAGTCTTGATGCAACTGATGGAGTGTCCTGGGCAGTCTTAGGAAATGCCTATTTGTCTTCCTTTTTTACAATTGCACAAAACCCCGCTGTCTTACGACTGTGCATGTCAGCTTATGCACAGGCAGTAAGTTAATTGCGATGCTAACTCTCTTAAACTTTCATTATTTATTTAACAATTAGAGATAATTAAATTATTTTTAGGAAAAAGACGTTATAGCTAAAAGTAGTCCTGATTTATTTCACAATAAGGCAGTAGTAAGTATATTTTATTACTTTACAGAATATCGACGCTGCTTAATATTTGGCATTTGTTTAACTAAATTATGTTAGGCCTCAAGGTATCAAGAAGAGTACAGTTTAGCACTCGAATCGTTTGATCGAGCAATGCAATTAGATCCAACATGGGAAAGACCACGTAACAAGAAGGACGAATTGTTACAATATTTAAAAGATGTGCAAAATGCTATAAACAATAAAGGAAGAGTAAAGCCGAAGAAACTGTACCAAATGATAAGGGTATCTAGTTCTTTTCTAAATAATACACCTTGTTTTATATGATTATCACAGAATGTGTTCAAGCTCTCTTTCTTCCGATAAGATTCTACAAGCTTAATATATGATGCTGGTACCTATACGTATTTATAGGTTTCTGATTAAATGTAGGCATTGGATGTTAAGCATTTGGGACCATATAAGGGTGGCTCTTTTACTTCGGGCCAGGAGACTATAAAGCTAGATTTAGTATCGCTAAAAGACTTATCAGTCGGTGTAAATCCAGAGAAAGTTATATTTGGAAAAGTAATATGCTGGATAGAAGATTGTGTACCCTTGTGAGTCGAACAATCGAAAATTTGAAGAAACATCCAAAATTAAGAGAAATAATAAAATGCATATTTATATATAATTCTTTTAGCACTTTTTGTCTCGTTGACGAAGAGAAAATATGTATCGCTGTAACAGTCTACAATCTTGCAAAAGGCCGTGGAGTCGCAGTGGGAGATTCTGTTGCTATACCTGAACCTTTTGTAATTCATCAAAAATTCTCTTACCTGAACAACGTTAGTATTACCACATACAAATATTTGTCGTCAAATAAATTACGTAATATTTTGTTTCAGGACTTTGACTTTAAATCTATACGTGTTGAAACTCCAGTTATAATGGTTGTTAATGGAAGAAAATTGGGTAGGGAGAAAGAAGTATCCGCAAAATTATACACGTTCAAAAAACACGATTGAGATTTGCATAAATATTCGTTCACGAATTTCTAGTGGAACGTAGCTAGTGGTAAAGTTTCCTTTCACTCGAAATCTGAATCAATGTCACCATCAAAAGTTAATGTGATATTCAAATCTTCGATCTAAGTATTATTATTCATAGGATTATATACGATTCTTACTACAGTCAATATCTCTGGAGATAGGCCAATACACTTACGATTGTTGCGCGTTTAGGAAGATATCGTTCAAGTTAAAAACCTTTTACATAATTTTACTCTCTTTTTACACGAAAGTTCACGTCATATAAGTATCGTTATATTTTATTCTTATGTTAACCAAGAAAAAGAAACTTGAAGAATCCGAACTACTGATTGGTTTACGTACAAGCAATACAGATTTTTACACGTAGCCCAATCTACAAAGTTTTATACTTTTATTAGTACGCATTTTTCAAGTTCCTTCTGTTAACTCATAAGTATGACAATTACAGTATAGTTTTTATATATAGTACAACTGAATCGATATAAAAATACTGATTTTTTATAATACACCTTAGTGTATTTTTCAAATGATCTTTGAGCATTCTTTTTAACCAACTTGTTTCGCACTTTTATTATGTTTATTGTTATAACTAGGTTTATGAAAAAAGTCGCCAATTAATCAAACGCGAGGAGTATCGTATCAAACCGAGCGAACTGACTTTTTTCTTCTAGGTTCCACTCAGTCGTTTCATCGTGCCAATAAACACCTCATCTGATACACGTACTAACCATTGTTTTTACACTCAAATACTCACATTGAATCGTTCAAAAATCGGTTGGAAAACGTCCATAACTTTATAAGCTAATAAACATCATGCGTATATTTATTTTGAAACGTCATTCGTTTATCGAATTTCACGTTCGGGGAAAAAAACTCGACGCGAAAAACAAGAAAAAAGACAGCGACTTCCGTTCCCGAGTTTTTTAAAGAGCTTAGACAAAGATGGAAGAGAAGTAATATCAAGACTAAAACGACAAAACACGGGAACGGGAAGTTCGCCCATTTTTTCAGTCACTTCTGCGAAAATTGCTTGTGATATACATATAATATATATATATTTAAAACGTTTGTATAAAAATGTCTTCTATGGTCGATTATAGTAATAAATACTTATTTAATAACAACATTGTAGTTGGGCGTTTCTCTCTTAAATCCTAGCGTTTTATTAAACGGAGAAACAATAGTGAACTTTCGAGGGGACCGTGACTGCATGACTGACTCTTCGAATACTGTAGCAGTGAGAAATTCTTCGTTCGAGTCATCATCGGTCATCACCTTTTCCGGTAAATGCGTACGTACACTTATACCGTCGCCTTCCACGCGCGTATTCGAGCGGTACGTACATCCCGTTACGTGAAACGAAGGGTGCATCAACGTTTTTTCTTTCACATGTTCACCTCCCATAGCTTAAAGTAATTGTCGATCACCTCGAGGAACCAGTCGCGTCTCAGCGGGTCCTTGAAAATCGGCGCCAGCGTCCGTAGCTGCAGCTGAAGCAATGCCTCGTTCACCAGCAACCCGTCCAGTTGCTTCAGCAGCATCGCGTCGCCGTGCAATTTCAGTAGGCTCGCGTACGAGAAAATGTAATATTGGTTTCGCAGACGTTCCACCGCCCATGTCTCGACCGTGCGGTTTCCGCTCGCCGACTGTATCGAACCCATGTGCTCCGCGTACCACGGCGAGAAATAGTTGCTCAACTCCAGATTCGATAGGCTCGCCACGCCGCGCGTCTTCAGCCGCTCCTTGATCCGCAAGTACGCTTGCGGTGAGTATACGAACACCTGAAACGATCAAGTTTTTGCTATTAATTAAAAAAATTGATGAGAATTTATTGATATACATTTTTCTATTGCTAATGACTCGGAACGCTCATCAACGTCATGATTGATTCTTTAAAATTCGCTGTCGGAACGGGATATGTAATAGTAACGTTGCACCACACACGCATTACTTAAGGCTATAATTTGGCCCATAAGAAGAGAACGATTAAATGTTACAGGCGGTTCTGTTTGGCAACGTTCTGTAACGCGAATGGTACCGCTGTGATAATGTCAGGGGAAGATTCAAATGGATTCTCGGAAGTGAACCTTGTAGCAATAAACTTGCCGCGTCGATAAATCATCGATTATTGTTCTTGCGCAAGTTGTAAAACGAGATACGTTGGTCGAAGTGCTTACCATTATGTTTAAGCGATCGGTTGCATGAACGTTTTTCAAAGAATAAATGATTTAAACGACAAGCTAATCAATTTAATTAACGGAAGCGAAAGATTTATTAACGTGTAGTTATAAATTTCTTGGTGTTTCCCCACAAGGAGCATTATCAATTAATAACAGATCAGTTATTTATCGTATTGTTATGAAAGTTACATAATTTAGTTCCTTTAACGAAACAAATATTACGTATGTTAATGAGAAAATAAATCTTCAAGTCTTATCACTGTCCTTCATCGTAAAATGTTTGTTTGCTCTCACCTGATACAAAGAGTTTCCAGTGACGTAAGCGGCGATGTAATGTGATCCGAAGTGTTTGATGAACCGCACCACGCTCGCAGTGTCTCCGACCGTGATGTTTTCCGTTTCCCGGAGAACGGACTCATCGAGGATCATCGTGTCCGCGGTTCCAGCCAGTTTCTGGTTTTCGCGGAACCTGGCGACGCGCACCAGCACGTAGCAATAATCGCCGGTGATGAACGACGAGTTGATGCCCAAATGCCGGGCAATCGCGGCTTTCGACCAGCTGGCGGTGAACGCACGCCACGGCCTCTCCAGTCGTTCGAACGCGAAGTCCCGGAAATAGGCCTGCAGGAGTTGGCGAACGTTGTCGCAGAACTCCATGTGAAACTCGCCGTCGAAGACGGCCGTCTGTTGGCGGGACCTAATCACCACCGGATCCGGATTCCTGAAAACATCTAGCGTTGGCTCGCGGAAGATCCAGGTGTCTGTGTCGTTCCTCGGGACTACCCTCATGCTGATGCTGAGGTAGCCGTAGCGGCTGAAGATATTCACGGCGCCGCCAAGACGCGGTTTCTGCGTCTCACTACTGAGACTTATGCCCGTCAGCAACGCGATCGACCACGCCAGGAGCACGAATCGCGTGCGCGACATCTCTCGCGGCTGCCTGCGGCGAAATCACCTGCAACGAGATTTCTCTAATTGTGAGACTGTGGAACGATCGTGACTGAAATAGGATGGATTTAGATAAGAAACAAAGGAGATAATTATTTGACATCTGACTCGAACACAAGAAATTCTATGAGACCTTGCGTGTTACAATGTCAATTAAAAATATAAGTACTATTCGCCTTGACTTCATTTCCGTAATACGGAAGCCTGAGAAACTAGCGATGACTCTTGAAAACTCTTCCTTTATTCATACAACTACACAAACAACAAACAAACAAAGTTAGAAACAAACTGTTGATTTTATACATTTTTAAAAACTTGGATAAGGACACAAGCATGAGATCAAAGTATAATACACATCATTATTTTGAAAGGTTGTAAACATCAATGTAGATTTTATTTTATAATTTCACAATAGTAATGATTTATTTTGCAACAAAGTCTGTCATGTATGCTTAAAGCAATTTCCTCTTTTTATCGAGAAATATCTCAAAAGGGCGGTTTTTTCAACGGAAGAGTTTTCACGATCAGTCGTTCGTCTCGGTTCGCCGACTACACACGATGCGTGCTTCTCGATAAACATGTATTACGCGACGAGATTGATCTCCAGCATGCACGCTGACTACGGTTTATGAGCCGCTAGGTGTTAACGGTACGTTTCACAGAGATTGTTCGACAACGAAAAGCCCAAGGCACACTTCCGTGTGAATAGTTGATTAGAATCAAATCAATTCTTCACTATTATAACTGGAAGCACTGCATACGAATATAACCAGTAGTCAATTGTTTCAAGGATAAGATATTATATTGGGTTGTCCGGAGAGTTCGTGCTGCTTTTTGCTAATCGGCATTAGAACAGGTCTGAGCATATCAGGACATTAATAAAGTGCAAATGGTACAATTATATTAACAAAACAAGTTAAAAATGTAGAATTTACATGTACGTGTGTAAGGGTACGCAGTAGCCTGTTGGACATGCCACCTACCTTCGGGTCGTTATGGCGCTCCTTAATATCCCGAAAGGTGATATTTCAGGCATCGTTGGGAATAGTTATTTAGTAAAATTAGCTGATATTTAATAAAAAAATATGTTACAAAGTAAAGCAAAAATCGTAGTTATTACATTTAATTCCAGACGATGATTGTTCGGAATAAAATAAGGACTACGCCGGTTTGGAATGTACATTAAACTAAACATCGAGTATTATGTACAATATTAAATATTATACATAATTCAGTAAATTTTCTATCTAAATCGGTACGAATTTTCCAGACAACCCAGTGTAATTTTCGTATTTTTAATTATTGTCTTTTCTGTGAACTGTTAAGTACTTGACACGAGATATTGAAGTTTAGCTGTTTTTCAAATGAAAAATAACATTTTTCATACCGTATCATCACAAAGTAATCAAATTCATTACATTCATTATCTACTGAATGATTGTCGTAATTAATCATGCAACACCCGAAGGTTATTCATTCAATGTTCCATCTTTATTGTGCTATATGTATGTACATAGGCAGACATAACCATGAGAAAGTGTTTCAAGAGCAAGGTTTTATCGTAAGCTGGTTACAGTGATTTTGCCTATGCACGGATCGCGCGATGCTCGAAGGTCGTTCTGGACCGTTGGATTCCTTCCAACCTGGCAGTCGTCCTAGCAACAACTGTTTTGCATTGACGATCATCTGGAGGAATATCGTAGGTAATTACATACTCATTGAACACTTCTCTATGTTAGATTACTCAATTATTCATTCGCACTGTGATAATCACCGTGATTTGATGATCATTTATAATTCGAGTACAGATTTTTGCAATAAATTTAGTGTTCAATGTATTTAATTAATTTTCCCTATTTGGAAAATTCTATTTGAAAAAATGAAATGTGCAGAAGATATAAATAATAATATTGCATGTGATGTATAAAAGTATGCAGAAATACAACAAGAATAATCTAAAGCATAAAACAAAATCGAAAGTATATTTGTTTTAACTGAAACCATAAACGTTTCATTTTGCACAAAAGTTATTATCATACAAAAAGTTGCCACAGGTGTATTTATATTGTATTACATAATATTGTCAATTTTAATAAAGAACGAATCGAGGTTGCAACATCACATCGTAAGCACAAATACGGCGCACGATATTGAAAGCGTGTAAAACAAAAACGTACGATTGTAAGCATTATGTAATGAGCATTAAGCAAGTATGCGAGATTCCTTACAGCACGCGAGTAAGATTAATATCGCTTCTTTTGTCTACATGTGTATACTGAAATCATGCAGAGGATGCATTCTCTGATCGCTGTTATGAAATAAAATTTTAATTGAATTAAGTACGTGGATTAATTTTATAATGACGTTAAAATAATATAAATAATAAAAATATGAAGAATATGGGGATCAGGATACTGGGTAATAAAAGCAAGCGAGAACTAAAAACACATTTTACTTGTAATAAACGCTGATGCATGTAAACGTTAAGCATAGATTGCAAGTTTAGCAGCCACCTATCAATCATACTCCAACGTGATTTGGAATCACCCACCCACATAATGGGGAACTTTTCGTCGACTTATCTCAAGAAGAAAATCGTTCCATATACCCGGATTTACAGAAATGGCGTTGCGAACGAAAGTACCGTGCATATTTATGAGATGTAACAACAAAGTGTTCCGTCGTACAAAATCGGCGCCTCAAGGTGATTTCATCGTTACCTTTTTAGTACGTAAGTACAAAGGAAAGTATGCGAAGTTATTAACGTCAACGTCAAGGAATAAGTATTCTGTCTTTGCTTAAGAAGTGAATAAAACAATCTACCTTCGTTCATTTCTTAATTAAGTATTTCTTGTCTGATAAATTAATATTGCATTAAATAAATGAGTTGACAAAAAAATCAATTGTAAAAACTTTGTGAAATCTTATATATCCAAGATGATAATCGGTTTTTATTCCTTTCTACATGAAACAGTTCATAGAAATCTGGAGTATATTCATTTGATGTACAATGAGAAATTAAGATAAGGGATGAAATCACGAAGTTGATAAGACATGTAAAATTACAAAGTCAAATCAAACTGACGTACAAAATTAAATCTTGGCACTCAATAAGAATTCCATTGAAGAGAGTATGCAACATGTATACACGGAGTCGGAGACAGCGGGGCTTCCAAATTAGTGAAACGGAAGTGGAACAGGGTCCACTTTCGCCATCCTCCATTAAGCGAAGGAAAGTGGTTTGTTGCCGCGATTAGAAGTTCAGGGGCGTACTAAACGGGTGAAGTTCACGCATTCCTCGTGCATGCACCACGCATTGTTCCCGCCTTCGCTTCGTTCTCGAACCAAATTGACATTCTCCTTGAAAATTCAAGGACGGCGAAAGGGAAACTCATCGGTTCCCCGTAAGCCGCGTGAGCAATCGCTCCGTGAAATGTAATCACGTTTATGGCTTAAAAATCGTTGAAACGAGGAACTGTGTAATTGTTTGGCGTTGGCGCGCGACGAACGTCTTCGACCGAGCGTAACGCGTAGAAAGTCTCGTGAAATTTTCGCGTAAGCAGCCTCAACGATGTTTCTTGCGCGCGATGCTGCACCGAGGCATTTATAAACCGTTGTGTAATAGGTGTTATGCATCGAACGGCCGACGGCACGGGGGAGACGTTGCCGCAAGATAAACGACCTCGTCGATTTTAAAGGGGGAATTTCGTAACTTTCCAGGTGCACGTTTACATGTCTGCGTTATGTCTTATAAGCAAGATTAAAGAGTGTATTTTATCTTGTAATACATGTATACCTGTTACATGTATTGAATCAGTATAACGGGATTGATTTTTCTGAAAGTGTATCTCATCATTTGCAGCTTTGTGTATATGGAACAAAAACGCAAAGATGTTAAGAGTTTGTCTCTTGTATCGAGTACCAATAACATAATGCAAATGACGAAATTGTATTACAGTAGGACCTTTGTTATCCGAAATAATTATGTTCAGCTTGATAGAGTAATTGAATAATCGAACTCGGATAATTGAAGGATATGAGAATCAGAATTGAATTACTATGCAACACTAGTGGTATAACGTATAATCGGTGTTTGGGTAATCGATATTCAGATAGTCGAGATTCCAAATGCATTGCATTTTCTAAAATCAGTGGTAACGCTGTCACAGCAACCGCGATCGATGTAGCTGTCATTTGAAAAACACCACCTAACCGCACGTCGACGATCATTAGAACCGGTAAAATCGTACCTTGTCGTAGAAAAGGATGCGTCGGGGATGCGGCAGCGTCTAAGGAGAATGTCGAACGTCGAACGAGGGACACCGTTGTGAACGAAATCGATGCGTTTCCATACGCGGACGCGCGTAAGTAACGCGACGAATGGCCGTGGGCATGAAAAAATCACCATTGGAAGAACAATCGAGTGCACGCGGCTGGTGCGATTCAGTTGTCGACAAGAGGCGAGTTCTACTTACGTGACGCAGAAGCAAATGGGGAGGAATTGTTTAAGTAGCGCGCCGCGGCATAGCGAAAGGGATCTCCGCGCGGCGGATTAGACACCGGAAGCGGTGCCACAAACGAATCATACTCCAGGCGAGATGTCTTTTCAATCGGCTACGATTTAAATAAAACAGTCATTACGCGCTAGTGGCTAGTTTATTGCACGAGTAATGGTTTCATTAGTGTGACACCGAGTACAATTTGAATCGATATTACAAAAGAAACAATAGCGAACGTATAAGAACATGAATGTGTAGAAAAAATTATAACTGCAGTTTGTAATGTATAAAGCTATATATAATAGAATATTAAAAACTGAACGCATACTTCAATGTTGATCTAAAACAATTTTTCTGGCCTCTATTATCAAAGTGAATTAATGTATGAGTTACTGTATGAAATATTGTATCAATTCTTGTATTAAATATTATGTCCATCCATCCATTATCGCATCAATCATTATATTAAAGATTCTGTCAAATTATAATGTGAATATTTAGAATATAG